GCCCATTCAGACATCCTCTCTACTATTGCTAGGAGTCTAGGCTGGGCTCATCCTTGTGGATTCCTGGGAATTTCCCTAGCACCAGGTTTCTCCCTAATCCCATAATGGCTCCTTCTATCAAGATATCTCTTTCATTGCTCTCCCCCTCCACATCTCCCCCAACTAGGCCTTCTGGATCCCTCATGTTCCCATCCTCCACCCCCTTCTCAGTTTATCCAGGAGATCTTAACTATTTCCCCTTCCTGGGGCCCTCCACGTGTGTCCCTCTTAGGGTCTTCCTTTTTACCCAGCTTCTCTGGGGTTGTGGATTATAGCCTGGTTATGCTTTGCTTTACATCTTATATCCACTTATGAGTGAGTACATACCATGTTTGTCTTTCTGGATCTGGGTTACCTCACTCAGGATGATTTTTTTTTTAGTTCCATTTTTTTTCCTGCAAATTTTAAAATGTTTTTTTTTTTTTTTTTTTTTTTTTTTTTTTTTTTTACCACTGAGTAATACTCTGCTGTGTAAATGTACTACTTTTTCTTTATCCATTTTTCAGTTGAGGGGCATCTAGATTTTTTCCAGGTTCTGGCTTTTATAAATAATGCTGCTATGAACACAGTTCATGGCATATCCGTAATATTCTTAGGTCTGGTCTTATCATGGTTCCCCAGATTCCTGGACGTTTTGTGCTAAGAATTTGTTGGATTTAACATTTTCTTTGACTGGTGAATCTATTTCCTCTATCATGTCTTCAACACCCGAGATTCTCTCTTCCATTTCTTGCATTCTGTTGGTTATGCTTGCATCTGTAGTTCCTGTTTGTTTACCCAGATTTTCCATTTCCAGAATTCCATCAGTTTGTGTTTTCTTTATTGCCTATATTTCAATTTTCAAGTCTTGGACTGTTTCCTTCACTTGTTTGATTGTTTTTTTTCTTGATTTTCTTGGCTTTCTTTAAGGGATTTACTAATTTCTTTCAATTTTTTTGTCTTTTCCTCCATTTCTCTAAGGGAATGTTTCATTTCCTCTTTAAGGGCCTCTATCATCTTCATAAAATTGTTTTTAAGGTCATTTTGTTCTGCTTCATCTTCATTGGGATGCTCACATCTTGCTGGTGCTGCCATATTGTTCTTTGTGTTGTTGAGTGTGTTCTTACACTGCTGTCTACCCATCTCTTCCTCCAGTCAGTGCAGGTGGAGCCTGTGCCGCCATGGGTCTCTCTTCCTCCATAGGTGCAGATGGGGCTGTGGGGTCTGTGGCTCCAGGGGTCAGTCTTATTCCAATCAGTGCAGGTGGGGCCTGTGCCTCTCTCTGGTGGTCACTGTTGTGGTGGGGGATGGTTGGGGGTGGGGAGGATGTTGCTTCCTGGTCACTGGGGCTGCAATAAATGGGGGGTGGAGCAAGGGATGTGTCCTAGGGGTCTAGACAGGGTTGTCCAGTCAGGAGCTCAGACACTCACCTCTTCCTCCAGGTGTAGGTGGGGCATGTGGCTCTCTTGGTCACTGATG